AAACTCCCAACATTCAACACTCCACAACAACATCAACAACTGCCTGCTCTTCCTCGCTCTCTCCTCCCACACCCCTCACAGCGCCCCCTCTCACATTCTTTCAGGCAATAACATGTAGAACCATATAACAGGATGCTAAACATTAGAACCATATAACTAGAGGCTAGACATCAGAACCATTACAATATCCAGACTGTTGTCTTAGATGCTATCTTATGTTTAAATGTTTATCAATGAATTCTATGTTGAAGTTTATACCAAAGAGAGGTTGGATTATCATGAACAAAGATGAAATCCACTAGATGCTGCTGCTGTGTAACTCGTGTGCTGTGGGTCTGGGCACAAGATCAAAAATTGTCAGAATATTCTGATCTATATGTTTCACTTCTGCTTCAGACCTGGCCATACATCCAAATATTACTCTTCTAATGCCCTCACCACTTTGTAGAAATAGGTCAACATTTCTGAGAAAATGTCTATTTTCTGGTGTGACCCACCTCTGGAGAATCAGCTGAAAATGGAGCCAACTCAGAACGGGACATCATCTGTTTTTCTACTTATGGGTACTACTACTACTACAGTCAGCCCGGTTTTATGTGCGTGCTATGTCCATCCACTGATTTTCAGTGCGTATATTCACAGACGGGGTCTACTTTGCTAGAGCAGTTTGTGTCTTTTAAGTGTGACATCCACTTGTGAATGTCACACTTAAAAGACACAAAGTACAGTACAATACAATACAGTATTTTCAGCAAATGCCTGTATTTATTGGCACTTTGTTCAATAATCAATATTAAATGATACTTGACTGAGCTGGAGTGCAGCCCTCTTCAGAGGACACAAGGTCTGGACCAGATGATCAGCAGGCCAGCATTCAAAATATTAACAGCAAAATGTTCATAAAGCACCACCTTTAAAGTACTCAGTATGCAGAATTAAAGACTTCCTAAATCATCAATTTATTTCACTATGGTTTTGTTTTGTCCAACACTTTATTATTGTCCATCCACCCAAGTGACAGAATGAAAGACTAGTGTTGTCATTTTTTTGGTCATGTCTTAGGAGCAGAAGCAGCATCTGATCTGTAGGGACGTCACATTTCACATCACCTGGTAACATTTAGTCTGTCAGAAAAATCTAGGATGAAACTGGATGTAAGTGATAAATGATGGCACTCCTGTGTCCCAGGTGGAAGAGGAGATGGAAGAACTGAGGAAGATCTACAGCAGGAAACCAGAGGAGGAGGAGAAGGAAGCTGGTGACAGTACTGCCACCAGTTCCAGGTCACCAGTGAGGAAGCAGGGCGACGACTACTGGCAGGAAACGCTGCAAAGGCTCCTCACTGCTCAGGAACTGGGAAACAGCTACGTCCGTACTGTTGCCACGGTAACACTCATGTCAGTTTAGATTACATTGCTGTTGATGATTTGACGAGTTGAAACAAGGTGACATGAAGTTAGGAGGAGTAAGATCAGGTCTGATGACTTGACGTGAGACTAGCTGACACCAGGTGATGAGATCAGGTGACACAAGACCAGGAGAGTGGACATTAGAAGGTTTGACCTGAGATTTGATGGGGTTACTTGATTTTCCTTCCTTCCACTTCATCTTCTTATTAGAAAATGCCATGACACTGGATTAGATTAAATGGCAAACCGTAGAGCACAAGAGATGACACAACGTTTCATGAGACATGAATTGCGATTACCAGACACTGGAGAACTTGTTGAAATTAGATGACATGGGATCAGAGAAACTATTTTGTTTTCATAGTTTTATTACAAAAAGACAGTGCAGGTGGAAAGTTTTGTGAATCATGAAGAGTAATTGGATATGGATAAAGTGGCATTAATTTGTGTGAACTATGTGTGTGTTAGGTGTCAGGATCAGGGTTAAACGTGCAGTCCATGGTGTCGGTGGTGCAGCAGACAGTGGAGCAACTCATCGGAACCAAACAGGAAGTGTCTGAGCTTCGGAGTCACTGGCTGATTCAGGTCCAACAGCATCAGGAGGACATGAAGTACTGCAGGAAATACCAGGAGAGACTTTCCAAGGTACTCGCTGCACTGTGTCTAGGTCAGGAACAATGAAAATGTTACTGGTGGGAGTCTCATATGAAAAACTTTACAGTGTCATTTCCTTTAAAATATAGTAAATTAGAAGTATCCAACTGTGTAAAATAAAAATTCCTTAGAGTATAGGTACCTTAGACTTGTACAGTACATGTACTTACTTACATTCCAATGCTGGATTACTGTATGTTTTCAGGCCCAGCAGGACTTAAACTGTGTTTCTGAGATGCTGGATTCCTGCACTCTGATGGATCTGGGTTCAGAACCGCAGACCTCCAGGCTGCTGGAGCACTTCAGCCAGGCCAGACCACATTTTACCGTGAGTCTTGTGACTCTGACCTGCCAAGATATTAAGGACTAGCCATGATTGTGTGACAGATTGCTGGGACTGTTGGGACTGCCAGGGTCTGTAGAAGGTTTGAACAGTGGATGCCTGGGGCTGCTGGGAACACTGCATTTTTTTTATCTGTGGGAATTGCAAAAATATTTGGGGCTTTTGGACTAATGAGATTTCAGGGACCACTGGGAGTCCTGGATCTCCATTGACTGTTGGGAGAACAGTGTCTGATGGGACTTTTGGGACCTTTTTAACTTTTGGATTGAAGGGACTGGTCAGACCTTTAGTCAGTTTCAACAGTTTGGTAGGGTGTTTGGGGCCACTGGGTAGTTTGGACTGCAGGGACCTACTGGTAGTGAGTGTTGGAATCACTGGAACTGTTAGGGGTACTGGAAAAGTTGTGATTTGGTGCTATACGAATAAAATTGAATTTTGAATTTGGTCGCATTTAGAGCAAGGACATACATGATTGCTACGTATGAAGTCAAACCCCTTGTTCTACAGTAAAATATATAGTATACCTAATAATTAGATCAGACTAGCGACCAATGTCAGCTGGGATTAGACAAGAGACAGGGTACTCCCACTGGGGACCAAGACAGTGCCACTGTGTAAGAAATACTCTCGGTAAGTCCAAAAAAAGCATGCCACTATTTTAGAGATGTTAAGGAATCTAACCAAAATACATTTACACTTTTCAGCTTGGCACTATGTAACATTATTTCCACACAGAAAAGTTAGCCCTAAATATTAATACACACACGCACAAACTAGGATCTGAAAAAAAAAAAGCCCCATTATGTTTTTTTTTTTATACACGGTGTGGTGATTCATAGTTGGAACACTTTTAGGGATTGCATTAGCCACTGTGTTAAAAAATATGTGATTCATAATTAAAAGTCTTTGGTACAAGCA